TCTTTCTTACACATATGAGTTTCTGTGGATTTGTTTCTCTAAGTACCCAGACTAACACAGCCACACAAATCTACAAACTCCTGAGACAGGAAAATTTAGGTGGTACCCTTGCTAGCACTCCAACTGCTCGGAAAGAAATTACATTAAATGTCCTGGAGAAAATGTGGAGCAAAATCATAAAAGAGATCAGGTGGGAATTGCTGAAACAATGACCCTTAGTCACTCTTCAGCTCTAGAACTGACCACATCCCCTGTGGCTCAATTTGCAACCAAACAATGGACAAGTCTATAAGAGGAACCATGATACTAGTATGTACACCTTAGAATAAGCAACCATTTGAGATCAAAAGGGCAGAAGTTAGGCTTTGTTTCCCTTATATCTGATACAGACTCTAGCACACAGTGCCTCCTTACTAATTGGCATGGACATGTGAGAAATGGATGAACAATAAAAGAAATAAGAATAAAATTTAGTTTCCTCAAAATTCATTTATAAATATATAGCAGAAGTCTATTGAATACTTATGAGCCCCCCGCCAAATTTTCCTCCTGAGAATTAAGTTTTTGAACCAACCAGGAGTTCTGTGAAAGAAGTATCTGTCCGTCTTCTTCTGTAAAGGTTAGAAAACCTTTTTTTTTTAATCATTTTATTGGGGGCTCATACAGCTCTTATCACAATACATACATACATGCACTGAGTCAAGTAAATTTGTGCATTTGTTGTCATCATCATTTTCGAAACATTTTCTTTTTTTATTTAAATCATTTTATTGGGGGCTCGTACAACTCTTATTGCAATCCATATATACATCCATTGTATCAAGCACATTTGTACATTTGTTGCCCTCATCATTCTCAAAACATTTGCTTTCCACTTGGGCCCTTGGAATCAGCTCCTCATTTTTTCCCCTCCCTCCCTGATCCCCTCTCCCTCATGAACCCTTGATAATTTATAAATTATTATTATTTTATCATGTCTTACACTGCCCGATGTCTCCGTTCACCCACTTTACTGTTGTCCATCCCCCAGGGAGGAGGTTATATGTAGATCCTTATAATCAGTTCCCCCTTTCTACCCCACCTTCCCTCCACC